CCCCCTTTTTACATTAGAATCCCCACTTTACATCAGAGTACTACCATCACAAAAGTTAAATGCACCCCTGAGGAAGTCGGAAGGTACCCTGGTGTGCCACAACACCCTGAACGAGAAAGGCTGATCTAGGGCACTGTGCCTTTGTCACCGAATCTCAAGAGATTTTGATTGATGTAGTGATGTCACCACTGTGCTGCTCACCCTTCCCCTTGCTGCAAAGAAAGCTGTACATGATGGCCTGCAATGCAAGGGTCTCCATGTTTCCGCTTCATCATCCCTGTGTACTTGTGCTTTTTGCTTCTCTCCTGTTGCTTATTAAATATTCACCCATCAGTTAAGTGGGGGCAGCTTTGACTTGAAAAATCAAATCCCTTCCTCCACCAAGATGGCCACATCCACAAAGAGACACAGTGCAGAGCACAGCATGATAAGTCAGTAATGGGAAAAAAATAAGCTGCAGGGTGCCTATCGATAATTCTGGTAAATAGTCCTTTGGTCTCAGCTTCCAGAGTTTAAGTCCTTCTTAACCGGGGACAACAGACACATTATGGACATTAGTCCATTACTTGGTGAGCCGGAACATTAAAGTGCAACTGAAGCCAACATTTTTTTGTAGTTTTAGATAGAATGGAAAGGGATTGGATCATGTCAGTTTTTTATTGCTCTCTGTATCCCCATTAAGGTGCCCATACACTGCACGATTATCGTACGATAATCGTATGCGATCGGTTTTTCGTACGATAATCGAGCAGTGTGAACGGAGACGTGCGACCGTTTCTACTGTACGGTCGCACGTCTTCTGTCGAACCAGCATGTTCGAAAACCAGCCGGGAATCGTACGATTCTCGGCTGGTTAGAACGGTGCTCGGGAGACAAATGCCGAACGGGCCGGTGTGCGCACACACACACTGCACGTTCAGCATTGCGGTCATCGGAAGCCCGCCCCTCAGGGGGGCGGGCTTGCGATGATCGAGAGTGCGATTTGCCTGTCCAAGATAGGCAGATCGTACGTTTTTTTAATCCCTGTACAACCATCGCAAGACTAAGGTCTTGCGATGGTTGTAGAGTGTATGGCCACCTTTAGGGAGATTCATCCTCTCTTTTTGTTCTGGTAATTAATAATCACTGAAAGTGAAAGAAAATCCCAAATGTTGGGTTGTCATAAGAACAGGAATAGATGGGAAATCTTCCAGTCAGGACACTAGTTCTGGGGACGCTATTGAGCACCAGAGATTTTCTTCTCTTTGCTGGGATGTCCTCTCACTTCCTGTTGTAGTGGACAGGAAGTGACAGGAAATCTCCCCAATGGGGAACATATGGCAAAAAAAGCTGACAGTGGTTATAACCATCCCTTGATCTATCCAAAACTAAGTTCTTCTAATTAGTTCTACTAATGTGGGAGCCAGTACCATGTGTTACCCATGTAATAAGGACAACAGGCTCAGAGACTTGCTGGTATGACAGTAGATGCCAAAATCATACTATTGTAGTAAATATGACCGTGTCATTTCACTAGGATTGCTATTATCATTTGTTGATTACTTGCTGACCATGTTCCTGTCAGATAAAGAAACATTCTTTCTCTTTTGCAGCTTCAGTTGGTATTGAATCACTAGGAAATATTCAGTAAGGAAAAATAGTGTTTCTATCTTATTTGACACTATATTGTAGTGATCTGAAAATTGCCCCTCGGGGGCCAAGTGCGGCTACCCATTGCTTCCATGGTAGTCCTCCTGCCTTTAGGAATTTTAAACAACCCTTTTCTATAACCAAATTGTTTCTTCGAATGTTGCAAATACAATTATATCAGAAACTACACAGTGCTACATTGTTAACATAAATTGTGTGCATTGCACCCACCTAGGAATTCATGACACATACCTCAGGTGAAATCTGATACAGCAAACAAACTAAAAATACAATTATTTCCTTCTGTAACCGTTGTATTTCACTAACTTAAAAACAAAAAAATGCCATGTTAGTTACTACATAGAAGATCATTCTGTGTAAGCAAAATTAGATATAATTACATATATATATTAGATACTATTATAATATGTGTGCCTCTTTAGATTCTTACCAATTGGCTACTGCTGCTCTATAGTCTTTACCAGTATTTCTTAAACTATGGGTCAGGATCCAAATGGGGTCATGGACTTGTTTATGATGGGTCACCACTTGACTGTGTAATCTAGTTTGTCCAAGTGCAAAATGAGCGAATCATAGCAGAGCACCCTGACGTTGGCTGATAGCACAGAAACATTTGGGGAATTAGCTCATGTTGGAGGCGGGGAATAGAGAAATTACACAGCCAAGGTCTAAGCCCTGCTGTAAACAGACTGCAAGAGGGTGATATTTCAATTCACAGACTTACACTGCTTGCCTTAAAGTAGAAGTATGGCCTCCCATTAAAAAATGTGCTGTTGCACTTTCTCATAGTCATCCTGCAAAATCCCAGTTGATCCTACCAGTGATGTTCACCTAATGAATCTCCCTGTGATGGGGTAGCAACGGTGCTGCACTGCTCCTGAATTCAGAGCAGAGTTGCCACTCTCATGTAAACTGTGCCTCCACTACAGTGGGATGAGCAGATGTTGCCGGGAATGTGGCTATCGGCATTGTCACTGCTAATTCGAACGCCTGTAGCTTGTCATTAAGCACCTGTCCACACCTAGTCCTGCCCACTGCTTCCTGGATTGACAGCACGGCTTCTGTAACGGAAACACTCCCACTGTGAGCTGCAGGGTCTGGGAGGAAATAAAGGAGGATTTGGCTCAGTCAGGGATAGTAAAGGAAGATATTTTATTTTTTACTTTTTCAGGATTGTGTATAACATTTGGTACTTTTTTAAACTGTATCATACAGAAGCTGTGCTTTTTTAAAAAAATCCCAAGGTATTATAAACACAGAGCTGCAATAAATGTATGTCTTTTGCATGTGCTTGGAGTTACACTTTAAATCATTTTTGTATAACTATTTCTTTTCTATGCTCCTCAGTGTCATCTAGAGGCCACAATATGGTATTGAATAGAAAAACATTCGAACATACAATGGAGAGAATTTATCAAAACTGCAGCACACAGAATCTGGAGCAGTTGCCCATGACAACCAATCAGCTTCTATCTTTCATTTGTTAAGCTTAAAATTCTCCAGTTTTGATAAATTCCCCCCAATTGCATTGTAAAAAAAAAACAACTATATATGCACACAGGAAACATTCACAGATATGTGCCCTGCAAATTGTTTATAAATAGTGTGAAATATGTTGTCCGCATACCATTCAGCTTAAGAATGTCGCCTTTATTGAAGTTCTTGCAGCATAATGTGAAAATGCAACAATTCAGAACTACATAGGGTTCCTTCGTTCCAGAATTTTGCCTGATAAAGGAACCCTTCATCACGCAAAATGCTGGAATGAAGTCTGGTTCTGAATTGTTGCATTTTTTCATTATGCTGCAAGAACTTCAATAAAGACGACATTCTTAAGCTAAATGGTGTGCGCAGAACATATTTCACAGTGTTTGTCATGGTGCCATCCACTGGTTGTTCCAGCACTCAAGCAATCTACAAGAAGGGCATTGGCTGAGGTGCGGTGGAGATATTACGATTGGTTATAAAGAGACCCCATAGACTTGCACTGTGAGAAGCAGTATTAAAGCACAGGCATTATGGCATTATAAAGCAGGAAGCAGAGCCCGTGTATGCCATGAGAAAGTACAGCTGTCCCATGGTATAGTTAGTAACTACATACTGTATATATAAAAAACACATACTGATGACTCTAGTAACATTCTTCATACATTCATGTGTACATCTAAAAGAAAAACGTTGAAAAGACTATACATTACCTTTATGTGCAGTTAGGTCTAAAGTTTGCCCTTGTTGTTTTTCTTATTTGCTAGTTTGTGTTAGAGGTTTTTAACATGCTAACACTCTCTTTTGCTTACGTCTGTGTATTATAAAGTTCGCGGTGTGGTTTCTATCTACTTGAAAAGGATGCATGTTGTGGCTTCGGGTTGGCCGAACATGCTCAGCATGTTCGGCCGACCCGAAGTTCAGAAGGAGTTCGACACAGTCGATCCAACATCTGGATCGGCTAAGCCGAACCTCCGGCAGGCTACTCGCTGCTGTTCAGCGTATTCTCACAGATGCCGAACAGCAATGAGTGGATAGTCGAATGCCGCCGAGCGGCATTCGGCTCAGCTATTCTGCTTGGTACCTCTGTGGTACCGAGCAGAATAGAAAAACAGTTTAAAAAGTAGTAAAGAATAAAATAGAAAACGATTGTGCAGAGCTAGCACTAACAGCTAGCTCCGCCCAACTGTTTTCTATTGGCCGGGCGGTTCTGCTGCCGTCAGAATAAAAAGTTAAAAAAATCACCCTAGGAATGCATAGCTAGATTCCTATTGGCTATTTCACTTTGCAATAGCCAATAGCAAACTAGCTATTGCACCCGCCCTCTGCTGCTGTCAATCACTAGAGGCTATAGTGAATAGTCCGTACAGCAGCCCTTCGGTTCTACTGAACCAAAGGGGTCCTGGGGCCGAAGATAGCCGAAGGATCAGCCAAAGCTATGGCTAGATCCTTCGGCAGCTTCGTGAATAGACCCCTGAGTAGTGTTTGTTTAATATGGACATTAACTTCCACTCATACCTGACACTTCTTGGCTGCAGGTAAGTAACATTGTTCTTTGCAGTGCTGTAGCATTGGCATCCTTGAGTAGAGAATAGAATGTGTTATCATAAAACCCGGTGACATCTGTATAAAATATAAAGCATGAACATTTTATTCTTTGTCTTTTTGTTTTCAGAACTGCCAGCAAAACTGTTCTTAAGCGCCTCACCAATCTTCTTTTCTACACAATATCTGAAGGACAAGATCAACTGCCGGTCAACAAGTTTATTAACGTAAGGGTCTGTAAGGGTGAAAGAGGATGTAAAAATGAATATCATGGACAGAAGCAAGGCTTGGCAGGAATGAATTAAAGTGGCCCTAAACTCAGGAGTTAACCCTTAAAAATGCATTCACGTACCCTATTAACAAAAAATGTATCTTATTAGTGCATCACTCGGCTGTAGATCCTCAAATCATGTCTACTTTACAACACACACAAGGACCATGGGGAACAAAAGTAGCCACCCTCCAAAAGGAAGGACAGTGTCAGCACCAATTCAGAGATGATTTGAGGATCTACATCCAAATGATGTTGGAGCTGATTGACCCTATTGGTGGAAAGGGGTTAATCGTGAAAACACACCAGTATGAATAAAAAAGAGGTAGACCTTGCAGTGGGGTTATCCACTCCATTTGCCTTTGAGAAAGTGTGTATGTTACTTGTGAAATGGTTGTAAGCCTGGATAGCTTTCAAATGTCTTTTAACTTTTGCCACCTTTAAAATATAGAAAGGTGTATGCTGCGAGTGCCCTTAAAGTATCTCTATTGTCTAATTACTATTAAAAGGGTATACCTGAACTGAGGAATGTGACTGAAAGACCTTAAATAAAATATTGTCACTAGCCTATTGATATGATTATTGTTTCTTAACCTCTTCATGACTGAGCTTTTTTTCAGTTTCTGTTCATTAATGACTGACGCACTTTTTAAATTTTTGCTGTGTGATTCTTCTACGGCAGTAATATATTTTCTTACTAAGTGCACCCACACATATTATATATTTGTTATTTAACCGACAGACAGGGCTATATATTTATATCACATATATGTGCCTAACTTAGTATGAATAACATATAAAAAATGAGGAAAAAACATTAAGAAAATGCCTTTCCCCCTTTATTTGGAAACACCTCACATCCCTAGGATTTCAGAAATGTTTCTGTACTTCTCGGCCTAAAACTAAATGCTAACAATTTATTCTTTTTCTCTAAAGACGATTAGTGGTTAGGTGGCTTACAATGTCACTGTCATTAAGTGTCACTAACTGTCACACTTAGGGACAGCGACATACTTTGAACGCCGTCATGAGGGGGTTACATTAAAAAAATTAACCCCTCAGGGTGAAAACCAAATCTGCAGCTGCATATTTTCATTTTGAAACCCGAACACAAGATGTCTCAATGTCAGGCATACAGGGGCAACCATGGGGTCCTGGTATTCCAACCTGAGTGCATGGAGGAGGCACAGGACACGGAGGCACACTGAAACTTGGGGAGCAAGGAGATCTCTGAAACACAGGGTGAAGATAAGTGAAGGGCACAGGGGGTTTTGCTTCAGGCAGATGTCCTGCTCGCTATCTCTCCTCACTCTCTCTTCTACCTCTCTCTCCTCTTTCTCCTCTGGCTGTCTCTCCTCACTCTCTCCTGGCTCTCTCCTCACTCTCTCCTGGCTCTCTACTCACTCTCTCTCCTGGCTATCTCTCTTCTCTCTCTTCTGGCGGTCTCTCTTCTCCCCTGGCTGTCGCTCCTCACTCTTTCTCTTGGCTGTCTCTTTTCTCTCTTCTGGCTGCCTCTCTTCTCCCCTGGCTGGCGCTCCTCACTCTCTCTCCTGGCTGTCTCTTCTTGCTCTCTCTCCTGGCTGCCTCTCTTTTCTCTCTTCTGGCTGTCTCTCCTCTCCCCTGGCTGGCGCTTCTCACTCTCTCTCCTTGCTGTCTCTCCTCAATCCCTCTCCTGGCTGTATCCCCTAGCTCTCTCTCCTTGCTCATCCTCCTTGCTGTCTCACCTAATCCTCTCCCCTGGCTGTTTCCCCTAGCTCTCTCTCTTGACTGTCTCTCCTTGCTCTCTCTCATGACTGTCTCTTCTTGCTCTCTCTCTCTTTCCCGGCCGTCTCTCCTTGCTCACTCTCTCCTCGCTCTCTCTCTCCTGGCTTCCTCTCCTCGCTCTCTTTCATGGCTGTCTCTCCTCGCTCTCTTTCATGGCTGTCTCTCCTCATTCTCTCCCCAGGCTGTTTCTCCTCACTCTCTCCCCTGGCTGTCTCTCCTCACTCTCTCCCCTGGCTGCCTCTCATCACTCTCTCCCCTGGCTGCCTCTCCTCACACTCTTCCCTGGCTGCCTCTCCTCACACTCTTCCCTGGCTGTCTCTCCTCATGCTCTCCCCTGGCTGTCTCTCCTTGCTCTTTCCCCTGCCTGTCTCTCCTTGCTCTCTCTTCTAGCTGTCTCTCACTCTCCCTCGCCTGGCTGTCTCTCATCACTCTCTCCCCTGGCTGTCTCTCCTCTCTCCCTTACCTAGCTGTCTCTCCTCACTCTACCTCCTGGCTGTCGATCCTCATGCGGCCCCCATGGAAGAAGAACATATGCCCAATGGTGCCCAGGTCATTTGAGTTTGAGATCCCTGGTATATACTATCGTGATATAATATCAGCATTGTAATAGGAGTTCATTCTAAATTTGTTTTAATAATGCAATCAAAGCTTACTTGAAAAAATCCATTTTATGTAGTGAGAGCTGCCTTCTGTCTGCCCATCACTTTCATCAACTTCCTAGATTCCCAGTGTGCTTTGTATCTCTTTCCCTGCTGCTTGATGTGATGCAATCTTGATTTTACTATACATCCCATCATGTCCTGCTTCCGGAAAGCAACGATAATGTTATATTGTTAAGATATTGAGCTGTAGTTCAGAAGGGAAGCTCTGTGAGAATTGTAACATGAGGAATTACATTTTCACAGGGCTGAGTGACATTGTGTCAGTGCATTGAGGAATTACATCCTTTGGACATCTTCAATGAGGGCTTGTTCACACCAAGCGCGGAACAGATCCAGAGCAGAGCAGGTGCAGATCGGATCAAAACTGCGTCCAATGTATTCCTATGGTATTTTGAGCTCCAGTTCACATTGCAGCGTGCAGATCCAGAGCAGGTGAAAAAACTGCGGCAAGCCCTATTTTACCCTATTTTGGATCTGCTCTGGAATGCATCGCAAACGCATCAAAACGCAAAAACGCATCAAAAATGCATGCAAGTGCCTGAAAGCCCATGTTAAACTTTAAAAAAAAAAAACGCATCAAAAACGCGGCACAACCCACTGCACTGCGTGTGCAGAAACCTGACCGGATCTGCTCTGCATTTGGTGTGAACAAGGCCTAAGTGAGTTTACAAACTTCTAGCTCGATATAGTTATTAGGAGTGGGATGGAACTTATGAACATTCCATATAGAAATATTTATTTTTAGTTTTTAATTAAGGTTTCCGGTTTAATGTTGCAGACTCTGAAGTCGAATGGATTGCTTACATCAGACCCGAGGCTGAAGGACTGCATGGACATACTGCATGAAACTGTTCAAGATTCTATCGTAGGAGCCACCATGGACCTAGAGGTCTTTCAAAAGTAATACAACGTTTATGTCTAATGGAGTTAGGGTAAAAACTAGTATACAATGAAACTCATAGCAGAGGATCAGAAATAAGCGGTAGCTTTTCTAAAGCACTGTGAAAACAAGGCAGCTTTTCCTAAATTAAAAACTAACAGATAAAGCTCACCAACCTATATTTACCAATTCCTGGTCAACCTAACACAGCTGTTAGGTTTTTGGTATGTGGGTAGAATAATTATGAAGTATTACATATGGATTGTAGTGAATACTTCTAACCTGATAACAGAACATAGTGAGATTGAGCAGCCAACAGAGCTCTCTATACCCATCTAGGATTACTAGCCTATTTGATAGGAGACAAAATTAGTAAATTGCTAGTCCAGGTCTATAGTAGAAATGAACTCACTGGTCTCTGCTTTAATTATTATTATGCAGCTTGTTCACGCACAAGAGTAATACAGACCCATCTCCCACTTTACACATTAGAGAAATGCAAAAGAATTGCTGCTTTTTATCCTCATGTGTTCAAGTTGCTGAATAACGATAAATGTGGAGAGTGGCGAGTCAAATTAATTTCTAATTTGTGGCTACCAGCCTGATGGGGGGGTCGCAGTCTTGCTCCACTGTGAAATGTTTATAAACTGAGGAGTGAAGAGATAGGTCACCAGAACTAATTTAGTTAAGCTACAAATAATAGCTTTATTACAGAATACCTTCACATAGGTTCGAATGCCGGTCTTTCGGGGCCACACAGTGTCCCTTCATCACGGGGGACACAGTAGACATTGTTTAGGAACTGTAGATTAAAAAAATTGTTTCAATCCATACCCGACCCACAGTGTGTCTTTTCATAGAGAGGTGAACTGTATTAAAGTGACACTAAACTTAGGAGTTAAATATTAAAAATGCATTCAAAGTACCTCAAAGAGGAAATTTACCCTTATCTCTAAAATAACAACAAACACACCTTTAGAAACGTTTAGTAATGACAAACACATACTTCTAGATAATTGCAGCTTTGTATTCTATGCATACCTTGTTTCTCTTTTATTTCCCAGTCTTCTGGCAGTGGCCATTTTAACTAAGGGCAGATTACTAGTAGGACAAAAGATTCCTGGAGAGTTATGTAAAGGATGCCCCCAGGCTGCCATATTGCAACAAACCACCTTTGGATTTTGGACAATTATAGAAAAACACAGTAGTTACAGAATAACAATCTTGCATCAGTTGGCATATGAATGATTACATCAGGAGACCAGGGTCCATGTTGCAATAGATCTAACAGTTAGGAAGGTCTCTTTAGGTTTGTTATTTATCTTAATTATTCAATAGTGAATAATCAGTGGTTATATTATGTAATTTAAGTTTTTATTCAAGTTTTAGTGTGGGTACAAAGAATATAGATCAACTATAGCAATAGTTGAAAAGCATGGTAATATTTTGGTGGTGCTAGTGACAGTCACAGCCAAAGTAACTAACATTCAAGACCCTGTCCTGCAAATCTTTGTGGAAGCCACATTGCCCCATAAAGGTCCCTCTGCATTGCAGTGCATGTCCCAGGTTGGAGGCTTTGTCAGATTAGGGACCACACTATACAGAGGGGCCTTGAAGGGGCAGTGTGGCTTCCACATAAATGTGCTGCAAATATACCAACACCTCTGCTTTTAATACATTAAGGGGAATTTGTCAGAACTGGAGCAGACAGAATCTGGAACAATTGTCCATATCTATCTTAGGTTTTTGTTCAGTTAAGCTTTGAAAATGAAAGATAGAAGCTAATTGGGTACTATAGGAAACTGCTGTAGATTCTGTCTGCTCCAGTCCAAACCCCCCCCCCCCA